AAATGTCACACCTGAACGCTCACATCCTTTTAATTATGTTCGAAATTATGAACATTGCTCAACATCATGAAAATTAAACCTTATTTTCAATAAGCAATCCTGAAAAATATTTGGGGGTGCTTAACTTTTTACCAGGTGTATATAATTATTACGAACTTGGCATGTTATCACCAAAACCAAAGATATGGTTGTAACACCTTAGAACCCTGTATATATATATATATCTCGTTTCCTGCTATAATTATCAATCGAAGAATGAGTACTCAATTAAGACCAGGCAAGCTCAGTACATTATCCTACCTTGAAACGTTAAGGCAAATCAGAAATAAAATAACTAGTGTTACTGTTGTCCTAGTTGGCCAGATTAGACCAGAATTTATAAAATTCTAACATAATTAAGATTTTTTCTAATAAACAAAATCAGTTACAGTAGTAGTTACATTCTGTGGTTATTGTGGTAGATATAAAATTATTTTTAATTTTATCAAGCATGTAATCACTGTAAACTGTAACACTTCTGTTCAATTTGAACATTAAATTCAATAATCTTTTTTTTTATTATTATTTTACATTAGATACGTTATACATTAGATAAGTCAAATACCTGATTATCCCTGGATAATCCACCCTATAGGAAGATAGACTTGTTTTTTGTCCAAACCGAGCTTGTATAGGATTACCTTATGATTCCTAATGTTTTTTTCATCACTAGTTCCTCCGAATCAGCTTACAATTAATGGTAGATCAGGGCACGCAATACTTCGAATAAAAGAAGGGGAACGTGTTAATTTAACGTGCAGTGTTCACCGCAGTAAACCGCCGTCTCGCTTAAAGTGGTATCGAAACGGAGTGGAAGTAATTCCTGGTGAGTGTTTTCTTGTTATATACATGTTCTTTTCTGCTTTCTAAATGCATTTCTTTCGAAAGTATAATTTTAAACATGCATACATCACTGATTTTACTGTTCATTTGAAGGAACGTGTTTTCTGTAATCCCAGTGTTATTGATGGAAACACGTAAAGAATCCTTAGCACCTATTTTGGCTCGCATTATACGGTATGTCCAACATAACTAATTAGATGTATTCGTGCCAACGCTTCAGCTTAACACTACTCTGTGTCTTTTTACTGAACATTTGAAGACATTTTAAAATCCAGGCAGGCACGTTCTCTATTGTATGTAAAGTTTTATACACTATAAAACTTTGAATAGTTTTCTAGTTCCTATCGATTTTCAATAACTACATTTTACTTGGCATATTTTTCTGTATGTTATAGCAATTCACTATACTCTGAATGAAGCCCTTTCACAGATATTAACTGATCTGGTTACTTTAGTAAGTTTGTATATTCTCGTGTTTTGAAAGCTTAGTAATAACATTAAATGACCCCTCTTTAAAACAACTTAAGACTTTTGACCCTCAATATGTGTTTCTAATTTTTTCTATTTATTTTCTTTGAGCTCTCATCACCTTACTTGACAGTAAGAGTACAGCTATACAAAAATCCAATGCTCTTTGAATAGTGCTCACATGTAAATATACGCATTTAGAGCTTTGTCTGAGCAGCTATACTCACATATCATCGAAACCTGATTTATTCACTCGTTTTATCATCGAAACCTGATTTATTCACTCGTTTTATCATCGAAACCTGATTTATTCACTGTTTTATCATCGAAACCTGATTTATTCACTTGTTTTATCATCGAAACCTGATTTATTCACTCGTTTTATCATCGAAACCTGATTTATTCACTCGTTTTATCATCGAAACCTGATTTATTCACTCATATATCATCGAAACCTGATTTATTCACTCACATATCATCGAAACCTGATTTATTCACTCGTTTTATCATCGAAACCTGATTTATTCACTCACATATCATCGAAACCTGATTTATTCACTCACATATCATCGAAACCTGATTTATTCACTCACATATCATCGAAACCTGATTTATTCACTCACATATCATCGAAACCTGATTTATTCACTCGAATTTTATCCAAACCTGATTTATTTATTTATGTAGAAAACTATATTGGTGATCATTCTCTTGTTTTTAACTTTAACTAGATGCTGCTAAAACATTCGTTCAGAAGGGAAACGAGAAACTTAAAACAGTGCTAAGTACCTTGACACTGTATCCGAAAATGGATGACGATGAAGCAACGTACATGTGTGAAGCTGACCATTCAGCTCTAGCTAAGCCTTGGACATCATCCATTACCATAAGTGTCCTTTGTAAGCAAGTAATATTTTTGTCTCCGAACTTCATTCTAAATCATATTTTTTTAATCTCAAACGGTTGAAGTATCATATATATTTATTTCTATTTGAAAGAGTATACATAATATTGAAAGCGGTTATGAATAATAAATTTTAGAATGTTGTGCTAGAAGTTGCTGTTATAAACTTTCAAATATTTCAAACTCACTTACAAAGCTGAATATTCAAAACTGGGAAAGTTTCTTGTAGTAAAACCTGTACCCTAAAAATTGTGAAACCTCGTGTATATTTATTTATTAGAACATTTTTCTTTTGAAGCTCCATTGAAAGAACAAACGGTTAAACAACAACAATTTTATAGTGTTAAAATATCATGGGATGTTGAAATATCATGAACTGCTGAATTATCATGGGTTGTTGAAATATCATGGGTTGCTGAAATATCATGGGATGCTGAAATATCATGGATGTTGAAATATCATGGGATGCTGAATTATCATGGGATGCTGAAATATCATGGGATGCTGAAATATCATAAACTGCCTGAATTATCATGGGATGCTGAAATATCATGGGATGTTGAAATATCATGGGATGCTGAAATATCATGGGATGCTGAAATATCATGGGTTGTTGAAATATCACGGGATGCTGAAATATCACGGGATGCTGAAATATCACGGGATGCTGAAATATCACGGGATGCTGAAATATCACGGGATGCTGAAATATCATGGGATGTTGAAATATCATGGGATGTTGAAATATCATGGGATGCTGAAATATCATGGGATGCTGAAATATCATGGGTTGTTGAAATATCATGGGATGCTGAAATATCATGGAATGTTGAAATATCATGAACTGCTGAATTATCATGGGTTGTTGAAATATCATGGGATACTAAAATATCATGGGATGTTGAAATAGCATGGGATGTTGAAATATCATGAACTGCTGAATTGTCATGGGTTGTTGAAATATCATGGGTTGTTGAAATATCATGGGATGCTGAAATATCATGGGATTCTGAAATATCATGGGACGCTGAAATATTATGGGATGTTGAAATATCATGAACTGCTGAATTGTCATGGGTTGTTGAAATATCATGGGATGCTGAAATATCATGGGATGCTGAAATATCATGGGATG